GGGTTGTTGCTAGGGTGTTGCCAAGGAGTTCTGGATTGTTGCAAGGGTGTTGCCAGGGAGTTTTGGTTTGTTGCTATGGTGTTGCAAAGGAGTTCTGAGTTGTTGCTAGGCTGTTGCTAGGGAGTTCTGTGTTGTTGTTGTTCAGGTGTTGTCAGGGAGTTTTGGGTTGTTGCTATGGTGTTGCAAAGGAGTTCTGAGTTGTTGCTAGGCTGTTGCTAGGGAGTTCTGTGTTGTTGTTGTTCAGGTGTTGTCAGGGAGTTTTGGGTTGTTGCTATGGTGTTGCAAAGGAGTTCTGAGTTGTTGCTAGGCTGTTGCTAGGAAGTTCTGTGTTGTTGTTGTTCAGGTGTTGCCAGGGAGTTTTGGGTTGTTGCTAGAAAGATCTGGGTTGTTGCTAGGGCGTTTCTAGGAAGTTCTGGGTTGTTGTTCAGGTGTTATTAAGGGGTTCTGGACTGTTGCTAGGGTGTCGCTAGGAAGTTCTTGGTTGTTCTTAGGGCATTGCTAGAAAGTTCTTGGTTGTTGTTCAGGTGTTGCTATGGAGTTTTGGGTTGTTGCTAGAAAGTTCTTGGTTGTTGTTCAGGTGTTGCTATGGAGTTTTGGGTTGTTGCTAGGAAGTTTTGGGTTGTTGCTAGGGCGTTTCTAGGAAGTTCTGGGTTGTTGTTCAGGTGTTACTAAGGAGTTCTGGGCTGTTGCTAGGGTGTTGCTAGGAAGTTCTTGGTTGTTCTTAGGGCATTGCTAGACAGTTCTTGGTTGTTGTCCAGGTGTTGCTATAGGGAGTTTTGGGTTGTTGCTAGGGCATTCTAGGAAGTTCTGGGTTGTTGCTAGGGCATTTCTAGGAAGTTCTGGGTTGTTGTTCAGGTGTTACTAAGGAGTTCTGGGCTGTTGCTAGGGTGTTGCTAGGAAGTTCTTGGTTGTTCTTATGGCATTGCTAGACAGTTCTTGGTTGTTGTCCAGGTGTTGCTATAGGGAGTTTTGGGTTGTTGCTAGGGCATTTCTAGGAAGTTCTGGGTTGTTGTTCAGGTGTTACTAGGGAGTTCTAGAAACTATTCTATTATATTCGTTGCAAGGGTGTTGCCAGGGAGTTTTGGGTTGTTGCTATGGTGTTGCAAAGGAGTTTTGGGTTGTTACTAGGCTGTTGCTAGGGAGTTCTGTGTTGTTGTCATTCATTCCTGTAGCTCAAACAGTAGAACACAGGTTTGATTCACAGGAAATGCATAAACTGGTAAAATGTTTACTTTGAATGCAATTTAAATCTCTTTGAATAAAAACATCAGCTTAATTGCAAATGAAAATCTGTTTAGAGTGGTTGCTTAGGTCTTAGTAAACATGACTAGGGGAGCGCGGGGCACAAGGTAACACAGGGTTAGTTGTAACACACGTGGTTTAAATATTTCCACACATGCTAGCATAACAGAATTTACAGTATTTACTAGTTACCATATCAACATTATATAGAGAAAAAAGTGCGCCAAAATTCAAACGTTGTAACACTGTGTTACAATGTGCCCCACTATTATTAAACTATGCTATTCTGTGACATTAGTGATGTCATTTACACTATTTACTTTAATACATTTTTAATGATAAACGACGAGAAACAGGTGAAGACTGACAGTCAATGTTTAATGTTCAGAAATTATTATTTCAAGACATGTAAAGCATTTTGGCTCGTTTATGTTGGCCGTCCCATGCCTGTTTGCAAGGTGTTCATTGTCAAACTCCAAAATCAGATTATTTTTAATTCTTATAAAATGCCATTATTTTATTTGAATTTTTATTTTTATTTTATTGTATTGACAAAATGTTTTAGTTTGTCTTGTATATTTTTTTTCGTGAGATCGGATAACGTTTTAAGCTGTCATACAGTCATGTTACAACATGCCCCTCAGATGTTACAATGTACCCCACCTACGGGGCATGTTGTCACATTTCACTTCCATTTTTTGAGGATAAATAAAGAAAAACGTATATGCTGTAATTATTAAACAAAGTGACATATTTGTACTAGACAAGTATGAAATTACTGTGGATAAAAAATTCTGAACCCCATGTGGATTTACACAAACTGACAAAGTCAAAAAGTGTTATAATCTCTCCCCTAACTATGCAGACATGGTCACAGGTGTACAGTATCTGTCTGAAGAGAGCTGTTTGCTGTGCTCATAAACTCTAACGAGCATTATGAGATTATACATTAGGCGTCCTGAATGAAGACTACGGTCGAGTGTGTGTTGTGTTAATGCAGTGTGATTTATTCATGAGAATTTACCACTGCTGGCTTTGACTGCACAGCAAAAATAAAGAAACCAAAATCCAAACCTGCTCAGAGTTGCGTGAAGTCTGACAGACAAAAACCGCGAGTGTCTCTGAGGAGCCCAGGACAGCAGGAGAGGAGCTTTCAGACGTACAACTCATCTTTAACTATTCATATTCTCATCTGTCAGACCTGGCAAAGAGCTTGTGTCAAAACCAAACCCATGTTGTTATGGCACTCCGGTCCAGTCTTCATGTTCTGCTCTGAAAACACTTCAGTGAAATGAAGATATAACAGAAAGATCACTGTGGTTAAAGCAGAATTTCAGGCCGAGATTATGATTGAGGAAGCTTTTAGCGTAGTTTATGATCAGTGCAGACACAACTCAATTTACTATCAGCACAAGTACAATACAAGCACGTGCATAATTGCGATCGATGCGGCTCTAATCGATATGTAATGGATTGTCTGGAAGGTGCTTAAGCAGATGGACATGATTTAAAACACACTGACATGCTGAAGGTCTCGATGGGACGCTTTGATGAAGTGCCCGTTTGGACCCTCACAGGCCTGTTTAGCTGCAGATCTGATCGATACGCAGCAAAGCAACTTTTGAGATGCAGGATGATTTGCAGCGTTATGGAACGTTACATGCGGCACCATTCATGTGTGTTTCTAGTTTCAGCATCAGCCTGAGATTTTATGAAATAACGCACTGTTAGCAGACAAACCAAGCTGTACGACTCTATCAAGGGATGATGCTGCAAACATGAACCCATGTCTTTCCAGGCTAGTTGCAATATTTCAAATAAGAACCATGAAATATGCATCCCATAATCACAGTCATTTTTTCACTAATGTCTCCTCCACCCGTCTCTCTCTCTCTCTCCCTGCGGGGAAACCGTCTGTCTGTGACACACACACATTATACAACAGAAGAGAAGGAGACGGAAGAGGATGATGATGATGATGATGATGGTGCTTATCAAATATGCACAGACTGAAGAGAGCTGCACTCAGTCACCATCTTGAGAGGATGTGCAAAACACACACACACACACACACACACACACGCACGCGCGCACACACACACACACACACACA